ACGTTGCCGGTCTCTTCCAACGACATGTCCCAGGGCCTGGGACAGGACACAGCTCCTCTGTCCTCCTCCTCAGACCCCCAGCCCATCTTCCTGTACCCTCCTGTCCAGAGGAACGTCCAGAAAAGAGCCGTCAAAAAAATGTGAGAGCTCCTTTTTGGGGCCGAATTCTTAATTTTTGGAGGTTTCCGAGGGGCTGCCGCGGGTTGTTTCGGTGCCAGAGGGGGTGGGGAACACCTGATCCTGTGCCAAGGGGGGGGTTATTCCATGAGTTTGGCTTCCCACAGAACCAGGATTGTGCTGGGAAAGCCCTTGAAGTGAAGCTGAAATCCAGAGTGGGCTGACAGTGGAATTCCAGCAGGGGAGGGATTCCCGAAGGGTCGTGGAATGGTTTGGGTGGGAAGGGACTTAAGGATCATCCACTAGACCTGCTCCTGGCCTTGGACACTCCCAGGGCTGGGGAGTCCATGGAATAACCTGTGCCAGGGCCTCCCCACCCTCCCAGGGAAGGATTTCTTCCCCACATCCACCCTAAATTTCCCTGTTTCAGTCTGACCCCGTCCCCCCTGTACAAAATCCCTCTCCTGTGGCCCCTCCAGCTGCTGCTGCCTCGTCCTCAGGATTATTATTTCTCGCCATTTTCCCATTTATTACCCACTTCCAAACGATTTCTAGGGAGTGGGAAACACCGACACCGAGGAACCAGCGAGTTCCTTAAACCCTTAAATGCACTTTTCCCCCAACAGTGGCCCTAATTCCACGATCCCAAGGCTCACAAAGCTCTCCCTCCCCTCCTGCAGGAGCGTCCTGGGCAGACAGACGTGCCTGGAGTGCAGCTTTGAGATCCCAGACTTCCCCAACCACTTCCCCACCTACGTGCACTGCTCCCTGTGTCGCTACAGCACCTGCTGCTCCCGGGCCTACGCCAACCACATGATCAAGTGAGGGGGAAAACCGGGAATAAACCCGGGATTTGGGGGCAGTCCCACCTCCCTGAGGGGCTCTGGGGGTCGCTCACCTTTTTAAAGAGGAAAAGAAGTCCGGCATTCCCAAAAATCCCAGGGAAATCATTGCCAAATCCGGGCCTTTTGCTGAGGTTTGGTGCCAGTTTTTATTATTTAGGCCCGGGTTTAACCTCCTGGATACAAGACAAGCAGACAAAATGTCATTAACCCGGGGGCTGGGCCTGTAAATGTGGGGTTGAGGTGGTTTTACAGCCGTTTGTCCAGAGCAGTTGTGACTTTTGTGTGGTTTTAAAGCCACTTTGTCCAGAGCAATTATGACTTTTGTAAACTCTTTTTTTTATCATTGTCCAGAGCAATTATGACTTTCTAAACTCTTTTTTTTTGTCTTTGTCCAGAGCAATTATGACTTTCTAAACTCTTTTTTTTATCATTGTTCAGAGCAATTATGACTTTCTAACCTCATTTTTTTTTGTCTTTGTCCAGAGCAATTATGACTTTCTAAACTCTTTTTTTTTTGTCTTTGTCCAGAGCAATTATGACTCTCTAAACTCTTTTTTTCTTTGTCTTCCAGCAACCACGTCCCTCGGAAGAGCCCCAAATACTTGGCTTTGTTCAAGAACTACACTGCCTGGTAATGCAGAGCTGGGCTTTGTTAAACCCGGGTTTAATTCCCTCCCCTTTAATCCCCTGGGAATCCCCTGGGCACTCACTCCCTGATCTCCAGCACCTGGAAGGAGCTGTTGGTTCTTTTATTTTTAGTTATTTATTTTTTTTTTTACCACCCAGGAAAATAAATTAATTTATGGCTTTAGGGATTTTGGGAGGGGTAAATCTTGGGATCCTGTTGTGTTCCAGAGGGGGGTCATTTTTCGGGGGGGTGACATGTTTAACTCTAATTATTAATGAGAACATGGGCGTGTTTTTATGGCTGTATTTTTATTTCTCTTTTTTTATTATGGCTGTATTTTTATTTCTCTTTTCTGTTATGGTGTATTTTTATTTCTCTTTTTTATTCTGGTGTATTTTTATTTCTCTTCTTTATTATGGTGTATTTTTACTTCTCTTTTCTATTATGTATTTTTATTTCTCTTTTCTATTATGTATTTTTATTTCTCTTTTCTATTCTGGTGTATTTTTATTTCTCTTTTCTATTATGTATTTTCATTTCTCTTTTTAATTACGGTGTATTTTCATTTCTCTTTTTAATTATGGTATATTTTTATTTATTTCTCTTTTCTGTTATGGTGTATTTTTATTTATTTCTCTTTTTTATTATGGTGTATTTTTATTTATTTCTCTTTTTTTATGGTGTATTTTTATTTATTTCTCTTTTCTATTATGTATTTTCATTTCTCTTTTCTATTCTGGTGTATTTTTATTTATTTCTCTTTTCTATTCTGGTGTATTTTTATTTATTTCTCTTTTCTATTACGGTGTATTTTTATTTCTCTATTTTTTTATGCTGTATTTTTATTTCTCTATTTTTTTATGCTGTATTTTTATTTCTCTATTTTTTTATGCTGTATTTTTCTTTCTCTCTCCCCCCCCTTTTTTTCCCCTCCCCTATTCCCCCCCAGCGGGGTGAAGCTCTCCTGCTCCTCCTGCCTCTTTGTCACCTCCGAGGGGGACTCCATGGCCAAGCACCTCGTCTTCAACCCCTCCCACGAGTCCAGCAACATCATCCTCCAAGGTGAGAAAACTGGGAAAAACACCAAAAAAGGGATTATTCGGGCCATAATCCCTCCATTCACACCTGGGGGGTCAAACACCTCATCCTCCAAGGTGGGGAAAACCACCAAAAAAGGGATTATTCGGGACACAGTCCCTCCATTCACACCTGGGGGGTCAAACACCTCATCCTCCAAGGTGAGAAAACTGGGAAAAACACCAAAAAAGGGATTATTCGGGACACAGTCCCTCCATTCACAGCTGGGGGGTCAAACACCTCATCCTCCAAGGTGAGAAAACTCGGGAAAACACCAAAAAAGGGATTATTCGGGCCATAATCCCTCCATTCACAGCTGGGGGGTCAAACACCTCATCCTCCAAGGTGAGAAAACTCGGGAAAACCACCAAAAAAGGGATTATTCGGGACACAATCCCTCCATTCACAGCTGGGGGGTCAAACAGCCCCTTGTCTGGGTTTGATGGGACCTGAATGAGCCTTTTTTGTCCTGGAGATGGGCAGGTAAAGCCCGGGATCTTTGGGATCTCTGGGATCTTCCCAGGGATTCACAATGCCAGGGGCTCTTAAACCCCGGGATCTTTGGGATCTCTGGGATCTTCCCGTGGATTCACAATGCCAGGGGCTCTTAAACCCTGGGATCTTTGGGATCTTCAGGATCTTCCCAGGGATTCACAATGCCAGGGGCTCTTAAACCTTGGGATCTTTGGGATCTTCCCGTGGATTCACAATGCCAGGGGCTCTTAAACCCCGGGATCTTTGGGATCTCTGAGATCTTCCCGTGGATTCACAGTGCCAGGGGCTCTTAAACCCCGGGATCTTTGGGATCTTCAGGATCTTCCCATGGATTCACAATGCCAGGGGCTCTTAAACCCCGGGATCTTTGGGATCTTCAGGATCTTCCCAAGGGCTCTTAAACCCCAGGATCTTTGGGATCTCTGGGATCTTCCCGTGGATTCACAATGCCAGGGGCTCCAGGCGCTCCCTCTGCTCCTCGGGGGCATCGTTGTGTCCCAGGGACACCCGGAGGTGACACCCCGAGGGCTGGGCAGCTGCCAGAGACCCGGGATAAACCCGGGATAAACCCTGGAGAAACCCTGGAGAAACCCGGAATAAACCGGGAAAAAAACCTGAAAAAAACCTGAAAAAAACCCTGAATAAACTCTGAAAAAAACCTAAAAAAAAGCTGAATAAACTCTGAAAAAACCCTGAAAAAAACCTGAATAAACCCCGAATAAACCCTGAAAAAAAAACTGAATAAACCCTTCAAAAAACCTGAAAAAAACCCTGAATAAACCCTGAGTAAACCCTGAACAAACCCTGAATAAACCCTGAGTAAACCCTGAACAAACCCTGAATAAACCCTGAAAAAAACCCTGAATAAACCCTGAAAAAAACTGGAAAAAACCCCGAATAAACCCTGAAAAAACCCTGAATAAACCCTGAAAAAACCCCTGAAAAAACCCTGAATAAACCCTGCAAAAAACCTGAAAAAAAAAACCCTGCACCGATTTCGTGTTAATTGCACCGATTTGGTGTTTGTTTGCACCAATTTCATGTTTATTTGCACCAATTTCATGTTTATTTGCACCAATTTCATGTTTCTTTGCACCGATTTTGTGTTAATTTGCACTGATTCGGTGTTTATTTGCACTGATTTGGTGTTAATTGCACTGATTTGGTGTTAATTGCCCCGATTTGGTGTTTATTTGCTTCAATGTTTTATTTACTGAGCTCCAAACGTTTGTGTTTCCCTTCCAGGCCCCCCTTGGATCTCACATTCCAGGTAAACCCTTTGTGTGAACTCCCGTTTTCCCCCCTCAGCCCTCCCGGCTCGGGGCCGGGTTTTTCCCGGGATTTCCCGGGAAGGATTTCCCAGGAAGGATTTCCCAGGAAGGATTTCCCAGGAATTCCGTGTCTTCCCTCCCTCCCAGGCACGTCCAGGGCCAGGCCCCGAGCCCGCAGCCCCCCAGCCCTCCCAGCTCCCCCGGCCGAGCCGCTCCCGGCCCGGCCCCGCCCGCGGCTCCTTCCGACCCCGACCCCGACCCCGATCCGGCCCCGGAGCGGCAGGAGGAGGAGAACCCCGGCGATCCCGGCGATCCCGGCGCGGGGGAGGCCGAGCAGCCCCCGAGGGAGCCGGAGGGCAGCAGGAAGGAGCAGCTGTCGGTGAAGAAGCTGCGGGTGGTGCTTTTCGCCCTCTGCTCCGACACCGAGCAGGCGGCCGAGCACTTCAGGAACCCCCCGCGCCGCATCCGCCGCTGGCTCCGCAGGGTCCAGGTAGGAGAGGGGGAATGTGCTCCCAGCCCAGCCCACAGGGAAGGGTCCTCTTCAGCCCAGCCCACAGGGAAGGGTCCTCTTCATCCCAGCCCATCCCACAGGGAAATGTCCTCTTCATCCCAGCCCAAAGGGAAGGGTCCTCTTCATCCCAGCCCACAGGGAAATGTCCTCTTCATCCCAGCCCAAAGGGAAGGGTCCTCTTCATCCCAGCCCAAAGGGAAATGTCCTCTTCATCCCAGCCCATCCCACAGGGAAATGTCCTCTTCATCCCAACCCAAAGGGAAGTGTCCTCTTCATCCCAGCCCATCTCACAGGGAAGGGTCCTCTTCATCCCAGCCCACAGGGAAGGGTCCTCTTCATCCCAGCCCATCCCAGCCCAAAGGGAAGTGTCCTCTTCATCCCAGCCCATCCCATCTCATCCCAAAGGGAAATGTCCTCTTCATCCCATCCCAAAGGGAAGTGTCCTCTTCATCCCATCCCATCCCACAGGGAAGTGTCCTCTTCATCCCAGCCCAAAGGGAAGTGTCCTCTTCATCCCAGCCCATTCCACAGGGAAGTGTCCTCTTCATCCCATCCCATTCCACAGGGAAATGTCCTCTTCATCCCATCCCCTCCCACAGGGAAGTGTCCTCTTCATCCCATCCCATCCCAAAGGGAAATGTCCTCTTCATCCCACCCCATTCCACAGGGAAATGTCCTCCCATCCCATCCCATCCAACAGGGAAATGTCCTCTTCATCCCATCCCATTCCATCCCATCCCATTCCACAGGGAAATGTCCTCCTCATCCCATCCCATTCCAAAGGGAAATGTCCTCCTCATCCCATCCCATTCCAGAGGGAAATGTCTTTCCCCCCGAAGAGCTGAGCCTGAGGCCGCACCCGCCGCGCCGACCAAACCCTTCCTTTTGGTTCCCTAAGTTTTTTTTGCCGCCTTTCCCAGTCCGAGGCAGGAATCTTTCCCTCTCCCCCGCAGGCGTCCCAGGAGGAGAACCTGGAGGGGAAGTACCTGAGCCTGGAGGCCGAGGAGAAGCTGGCGGAGTGGGTGCTGACCCAGCGGGAGCAGCAGCTGCCCGTCAACGAGGAGACCCTCTTCCAGAAGGCCACCAAGATCGGGCGCTCGCTGGAAGGGGGGTTCAAGATCTCCTACGAGTGGGCCGTGAGGTTCATGCTGAGGCACCACCTGAGCACCCACACGCGCCGGGCCGTGGCCCAGCCGCTGCCCAAGGGCGTGGAGGACAGCGCCGGCTCCTTCATCGAGTTCGTGCAGCGCCAGATCCACACGCAGGACCTGCCCCTGTCCATGATCGCCGCCGTGGACGAGATCTCCCTGTTCCTGGACGCCGAGGTGCTGGGCGGCGGCGGCGACGACCGCAAGGAGAACGCCCTGCAGACCGTGGGCAACGGCGAGCCCTGGTGCGACGTGGTGCTGGCCATCCTGGCCGACGGCACCGTCCTGCCCGCCCTGGTGCTCTACCGGGGCCACGTGCGGGCGCCCGCCAACGTGCCCGAGTCCATCCTGCTGGAGGCCCGGGAGGGCGGCTACAGCGACGACGAGGTGATGGAGCTGTGGGCGTCGCGCGTGTGGCACGAGCACGTGGCCTGCCAGAGCGGCAAGGGCATGCTGGTGCTCGACTGCCACCGGACCCACCTGAGCGAGGAGGTGCTGGCCGTGCTCAGCTCCTCCAGCACCCTGCCCGCCGTGGTGCCCGCCGGCTGCAGCTCCAAAATCCAGCCCCTGGACGTTTGCGTCAAGAGGACCGTGAAAAACTTCTTGCACAAAAAGTGGAAGGAGCAGGCCAAGGAGATGGCGGAGGACTCCACGTGCGACTCGGACATCCTCCTGCAGCTGGTCTTGTGCTGGCTGGCCGAGGCGCTGGAGGTCATCGGGGACTCGCCGGAGCTGGTGCAGCAATCCTTCCTGGTGGCCAGCGTCCTGCCCGGCCCCGACGGCACGGCCAACTCGCCGGCGCGCAACGGGGACATGCAGGAGGAGCTCATCGCCTCGCTGGAGGAGCAGCTCAAGCTGGGCCGGGGGCAGGAGGAGCCCCCCGAGCCCCAGGAGGGGGAGACCCATCCCGAGGAAGCGGCGGATCCCGAGATCCTCCACCGGCTCTTCGAGGGAGAGAGCGAGGCCGAGTCCTTCTACGGCTTCGAGGAGGCCGAGCTGGAGCTGCTGGAGGAGGAGATCTGAGCCCGGGAGACACACACACAAAAAAGAACAGAAAAAAAAAAAAAAGGGGGTTATTTTTTTGAGAATAAACGTTGGATTGAGACCATGACACTTCCCTGTGGATTTGTGGGGTTTTAGGAATTTTCGTAGGCGATCGCTCGAGATTAAAACAAAACAAACAAACAAACAAACAAACAAAAAATAGCCATTTCTGCTGGTTCATTTCGGGAGTTTTTTCGTGCTTTTGGTTTCTTTTTTTCCCCCCTTTTATTTTTTTTTTTTTTTGTTTCTTTTTTTTGTTTGTTTGGGGGTTTTTTTGGTGTGTTTTTTTTGGTTTTTTTTCTTTGTTTTTTTTTGGTTTTTTTTTAAAGAAGGAAAAAAAAAAAATCACCGTTTTTGGTATTTTTTTCCTGAAAAATATCTCGTGGGTGGCTGTTTTACCTCACTTGTATCAAGAGTTTCTGGGGTTTTTATCGTGCAGAAATGTGGATTTTTTTTATTCCCAATTGGACATTTGTCAATGTGTGACTGTTTCAGGGGGGGAAAAAAGGAAGGAGAGGAGAAAAAAAAAAGCAGATGTAGCTGTGGAAAAACCAGTTCTCAAAACCTTTTTTTTGGGGGTTGTCTTAAAAAAAAAAAAAAACAGGTTCTTTTTTGATCCTTGGCTTTGTGACACTTGACCCCGGGGAAGTTCCATTCCCGTGGAATTCCTGGGAGCCTTCGGATTGGCCCAGGGAGATTTTGGGGGTTGCTCTGGGTCTTTTTGGGGGTTTTTTTGGTTATGAATTTGGCCAGGGGGTGAAACCACACTGGTTTTCCTGTTCCATGCCAGCAGATTTGGGGTCGGGAGCAGCTTTTTAGGGGCAGAAAACCCCCCCCCCAAAAAAAAAAACCCTCTCGTTTTTCCCGGTGATTTTTCCCTGGAAAACCACCCGGCCCCCGCCTTTGCTCCAAAGAATTCCCGACAGAGGGCACTGGGAGGAGGAGAAAAACCCCAAATTGCTCTTGGCTCTCCCTCCCAGCGCCCACAAAACGTTGCCCTTTAATTCCCACTAGTGACAAACCCGCTTTTAGATCCAGCCAATCCCTTAGGATTAGGAAAACAAAGGAAAAATGGGATTTGGGAACCAAACTGTGACAACAACGACAACAAAGAACTGTTTGTTTTTATTTTTCACTGCCAGCTTCGAGGTTTTTCTACGATTTGCATGTTTGGAGGGGTTTTTTAACTCTGCCTGGGTTTCTGATCCCAGAAATCCGGAGGCACCTGCACCTTTCTGTTTCCATAGGTTTGGGTTTTTTTTTTATTTGTGAGCCTTTCCCTCCCCCCTTCCCCTTCCTCTTCTTCCCTAAGGAAAGCAGGAAGCAGCATGTGCAGCCCTGTAAATGGTTCAGCTTGGAATTGTACAGCCGTGGAAACGTTGAATAAAACCAGGGAAATGGAGTTTTTTTTTTCTAAACCCGTGTTTTTATTCCCCGACCCCGCTCTTGGAAAATTCCCAGAGGGATTTGTTCCCACCCCCTCCTGCCCTCCCGAGCCCTTCCCGTGTCCTGGAGAACCCAGAGATGGGGTTTTAATTTAAGTTTTAATTTAATTTCCCCCCCCCCCTTTTTCCAGGAAGGTTCAGTGCCACGACTGACTCTTCCCCACTGAGAGATTTCCTTCTCTTTTTAAATAAATAAAAGTTGGATAAAAATGTCAATAAAACTCTTCCTGAAGAAATGTATTTACTGGTGGTTCTCTGTGCTGGTAAAAATACCACTTTCATGTTGATTTATGTCCTTGTTTTGCTGAAATATTTCAATATTCCACCGAATTAGTTCCATATTTTACAGAGAGTTTCATATTTTGAAGTGTCTCCTTTTACTATTTCCTTATTTTACTGAAATATTTCCTTTTTTTTTAACTTAAGGTTCAGCAAATATTTATTTTATTCTTTATTCTTCATTTCTTTCCTGTAAAAAACCTGAAAATGCCCCAATCCAGCCCTTTATCCCTGTTTTTTTCCCGGATCCAGCCCCATCCCTCCCAGGAAACCCCCTCCCTCTCCCTGAGGTCATTTTGAACCTCCCCAAAAACGTGATTTTTAACAAAAAAAATCTCTTCCCAGACGTGTTTTCCTTCCATCCACAGGTGACTCCTTAAGGTGGATTCTTGAGCCCTTTTGCCTTCCCGGAATTCCCTTGGATTCCCAGCTGGAATAAAGCAGGACCTGCTCTGTGTAAGTCTTGATTTGGGGCAAATCTGGGCTATTTTGGGGGCTGATCCTGGAGCCCAGGGCTGGCCTGAAGCTGCTCCAGGGGGGGTTTGAGGTGGGATATTTGGGAAAAATCCCGGAATCCCCACCCTGGAATGCCCAAGGAACGTGTGGATGTGGCCCTTGGGGACAGGATTTAATGGACTCCACGACCCCAGAGGGGCTTCTCCAACCTCAGCAATTCCAAGATTCCAGCAAAAACAAGGACTTGCAGCTTCACCTGGAATTCCAAGACCTCCCCCCTCAAGTCCCTGGTTTGGGAGGATCCCAAATTTTTTTGGAGGGTCCCGAGCGCGGCACAAAACACGGAGCCCGGTCTTAAAAGGTCTTGGTTTTATTCCCAAAAACACGGATGGGACATTCCAGAGGGACATTCCAGAGGGACCAGGATACAAAGGGTGGGATACGAAGGACACGACGACCTGGAGCAGCTCCCGGGGTTCACTCGAAACCGCTGCAAGAAAAGGGATTGGGAAGGTCAGGAAGATCCCCCCTGGATGTGCCACAGGGATTCCTACACCTGGAATGTCACCCTGGATGTCTGGATGACACCTGGAACACCTGGATGTCCCCTGGAACACCTGGATGTCCCCTGGAACACCTGGATGTCCCCTGGAACACCTGGAATGTCCCCTGGAGCTCCTGGATGTCCCCTGGAACACCTGGATGTGCCCTGGAACACCTGGATGTCCCCTGGGGCTCCTGGATGTGACCTGGAACACCTGGATGTGCCCTGGAACACCTGGATGTCCCCTGGGGCTCCTGGATGTCCCCTGGAACACCTGGATGTCCCCTGGAACACCTGGAATGTCACCCTGGAGCTCCTGGATGTCCCCTGGAACACCTGGATGTCTCCTGGAACACCTGGATGTCCCCTGGGGCTCCTGGATGTGCCTTGGGGCTCCTGGATGTCCCCTGGAACACCTGGATGTCCCCTGGGGCTCCTGGATGTGCCCTGGAACACCTGGATGTGCCCTGGATGTGTCCTGGAGCACCTGGATGTCCCCTGGGGCTCCTGGATGTGCCCTGGAACATCTGGATGTGCCCTGGAACACCTGGATGTGCCCTGGAACACCTGGATGTCCCCTGGGGCTCCTGGATGTGCCCTGGAACACCTGGATGTCCCCTGGAGCTCCTGGATGTCCCCTGGGGCTCCTGGATGTGCCCTGGAACACCTGGATGTCCCCTGGATGTGACCTGGAAGACCTGGATGTGCCCTGGGGCTCCTGGATGTCCCCTGGAACATCTGGATGTGCCCTGGAACACCTGGATGTGCCCTGGAACACCTGGATGTCCCCTGGGGCTCCTGGATGTGCCCTGGAACACCTGGATGTCCCCTGGAGCTCCTGGATGTCCCCTGGGGCTCCTGGATGTGACCTGGAACACCTGGATGTGCCCTGGGGCTCCTGGATGTCCCCTGGAACACCTGGATGTCCCCTGGATGTCCCCAGCTTGTCCCCCCGACCCCGGGAGCGTTACCTGACCACGTGGGCGATGTCCCAGTTGGCTTCCAGGGTCAGGGGTCCCTCCACCTGCACCCCCTTCTCCGTCACGGTGGCGAGTTCATACTGAGGGGAGAGAACGTGGGGATGAATCCCTGGAATTCCACACCCGGAGCCAGGTAGGCCTGGAATTCCACACCTGGAGCCAGGTAGGCCTGGAATTCCACACCTGGAGCCAGGTGGGCCCTGGGGACACCCCGATTAAGGAGACTGTCCCCCAAAAAAGGGTTTGGGTTTAATGGGGGGGATGGTGGGAAAGGATTGCCAAGGGGAAGGATTGGAGCCTCTGGATGGCAGAGCTGCAGGGACGGGACAGTTATCCAAGGAAATCCCCCCAAAGGGGGATCCTGAGCGGCTGGAGCCGAGCCAGGCTCCGGAGCTTGGGATCCCCTCATCTCCCACCCTGCCCCTTCTCCTGGGAGCAGGGAGGTGGGGCTGGGAGAGGGATTTTCCTGGGATCAGGAGAGGTGTATCCAGGTGAGGGGGATCAGGGAGGTGTCTCCAGGAGGGATTCCTGGGATCAGGAGAGGTGTATCCAGGTGAGGGGATCAGGGAGGTGTCTCCAGGAGGGATTCCTGGGATCAGGGAGGTGTCTCCAGGAGGGACCCCTGGGCTTTTGGGATCAGGGAGGTGTCTGCAGGAGGGACCCCCGGGTTTGTGGGCTCAGGGAGGTGTCTCCAGGGGGGATTCCTGGGATCAGGATGGGTGTATCCAGGTGAGGGGGATCAGGGAGGTGTCTCCAGGAGGGACCCCTGGGCTTTTGGGATCAGGGAGGTGTCTCCAGGAGGGACCCCTGGGTTTGTGGGCTCAGGGAGGTGTCTCCAGGGGTTCCTGGGCTCAGGGAGGTGTCTCCAGGGGTTCCTGGGCTCAGGGAGGTGTCTCCAGGGGTTCCTGGGCTCAGGGAGGTGTCTCCAGGGGGGAAGGACACGGACCCTGTTGAAGGATCTGGCGTCCCTGTAGTAGAGGATCCGCAGGCAGCGCTCCAGGAGATCCCGGGCCTCCTCCTGGGTCAGGCTCTGCTTCTTCTCCAGGACCTCCCTCATCAGGGGCTGGGGAGAGGGATGAAATAAAACCACGGGACTTAATTATTAAGACAACAAAACACAGTTAAACACGACAATGTAAACTTTGAAGAGTAAAATAAATAACAGCATAAAATAGCCTAAAAGAAAATAAAATAAACTCAAAGCCCACCTGAGCCAGGTAGGCCCCGAACCCCGTGGCCAACGTCGGCGCCTCGTAGGCCACTCCCAGCATGTCCACGTATCCCAGGAACCTGAGGGCACAGGGAAGGAAGAGGGTGCTCAGCCCTTGGAATGGGCTGCCCAGGGAGGGGGTGGATTCTCCATCCCTGGAGGTGTTTAAGCCCAGACTGGATGTGGCATCAGTGCCACGGGCTGGGAACCACGGCGGGGTTGGATCAAGGGTTGGACTGGATGGTCTGGGAGGTCCCTTCCAACCCAGCTGATTCTGGGATTCCATGATTCTATGATTCTATAATTCTATGATTCTATAATTCTATAATTCTATGATTCTGTGGGGGGATTTTGGGAGGGAATTCCCACCCCATTCCCGGGTTTTTTTCCCCTCTCCCACCAGGTGATGGGGGGCCTGGACGGGGACATGTTCAACTACTACAAGATGCTGATGCTGCAGGGGCTGATTGCGGCCAGGAAACACATGGACAGGGTGGTGCAGATCGTGGAGATCATGCAGCAAGGTGGGAAAGGGGCAATCCCAGGGGAAAAGGGGCAATCCCAGGGGAAAAGGGGCAATCCCACGGGAAAAGGGGCAGCAAGGTGGGAAAGGGGCAATCCCAGGGGAAAAGGGGCAGCAAGGTGGGAAAGGGGCAATCCCAGGGGAAAAGGGGCAATCCCAGGGGAAAAGGGGCAGCAAGGTGGGAAAGGGGCAGCAAGGTGGGAAAGGGGGCAATCCCAGGGGAAAAGGGGCAGCAAGGTGGGAAAAGGGGCAATCCTGGGGGAAAAGGGAGCTCTGGGAAAGGGCAGGGAAGAGGTTTGGGAGGATCCTTCGGGGATGGAGGAATTCCAGACCCTGCTCTCCCGGCAGGATCCTGCTCCCCTGAGCCTCCCCTATTCCCAACCCCTCTGTGTTCCCACAGGATCCCATTCCCACTTGATGATCTCGGAGGTCCCTTCCAAGCCAGCTGATTCCATGATTCCATGATTCTGTGATTCTATGATTTTGTGATTCTATAATTCTATGGTTCTATGATTCCATGATTCCATGATTCTATTTTATAATTCTATGATTCTATAATTCTATGATTCTATAATTCTATGATTCTATAATTCCATTATTCTATGATTCTATAATTCTATGATTCTATAATTCCATGATTCTATAATTCCATGATTCTATAATTCTATGATTCTATAATTCTATGATTCTATAATTCTATGATTCTATAATTCCATGATTCTATAATTCTATAATTCCATGATTTCATGATTCTATAATTCTATAATTCTATGTTTCCATGTTTCCATGTTTCCATGACTCCCTGATTCCCTGATTCCCTGATTCCATGGTTCCCTGATTCCCTGGTTCCCTGGTTCCCTGATTCCCTGGTTCCCTGGTTCCCTGATTCCCTGGTTCCCTGGTTCCCTGGTTCCCTGATTCCCTGATTCCATGTTTCCCTGATTCCCTGGTTCCCTGATTCCCTGATTCCATGTTTCCCTGATTCCCTGATTCCCTGGTTCCCTGATTCCCTGGTTCCCTGATTCCCTGATTCCCTGGTTCCCTGGTTCCCTGGTTCCCTGGTTCCCTGATTCCCTGGTTCCCTGGTTCCCTGATTCCATGTTTCCCTGATTCCCTGGTTCCCTGGTTCCCTGGTTCCCTGGTTCCCTGGTTCCCTGATTCCATGTTTCCCTGATTCCCTGGTTCCCTGGTTCCCTGATTCCCTGGTTCCCTGGTTCCCTGCCTGGCCCCACTCACCCCTGGCCTCCGGAGCAGCCCCCGATGACCACGGTGTTCCAGAGGGGGTTGATCTTGGAGCGCCGGTTGTACATGACCCTGGTGAGCCAGGAGTGGATGGCCCGGGGGCTGTAGGTGTGCCCGTCCCCCAGCAGCTCCTCGTCGATCCTGAGCCGGGGAAAAATCCCCCCAGAAACTGGGAATTGGTGCTCCAGGAAGGACTGAGAGCCCTGGGCCGGGCACTGAGGTGGGCACGGGGCACGGGGTGGGCTCCACGGGCCACCAAAACCGAGGCCTGGGGGCCTCACCCTCCACCTGAGACAGCCCCAAATCCCTGTTTTTCCCACCCAACCCTCCCAAAATCCCTATTTTTCCACCCAACCCCCCCTGAAATCCCTATTTTCCCCCCCCAAAATCCCTATTTTTCCCCCAAAATCCCTATTTCCCCCCCTTGACCCCCCCCAGATCCCTATTTTTCCCACCCAAATCCCTATTTTCCCCCTCCAAAA